GAAAGAAGACAGAGGTAAAACTGGAACTTACCCACTCCTTCTGATTGAGATTGAGTGGGTCTGTTCCACTCAGCTTTTGCAGGACATGAAAAGCTGAAATAAATTCTTGAGAAAAAAGTCTCCTTTCAATCACAGATTTAGCAGAAATGTTATTACATATCTATGGTTTGAACTTGAGGTTTCTTAAAACACCATCTAGAGAGATTTTCATGTTCTGTTTGCCTGGAGCTGTATACTGGGCACAAACCTTGGGTCAGATTCTTCACTTGTCACTTATTTGGCTCTTAGAAAATAGCCCTTCTTCTGGTAAAGAAGAGAAGACAGATTAAATTTCTAACAGTAAGGCCCCAAACCTCTCCATTTGCAGAATTAGTCTTACATTAGCACATAGGAGTACAAATCGGCCTCCCTGGGGATGGATCTATTTGCAGTTTCTCTTAGCATTTTTGGAGTAAGTCCAGGAGACTTTGGGAAAAATCTAGTACTCACTGAGTTTGAATTAACAAAGTAACATGACCCCTTTGTGGGGTTTCTTTCTCTCTTTCTTTTGCTTGATTAGGAAAGGATTTTTTTTTTTAATCTGTCTGACTTCGGGTGTGGCTCTCAATTTTTAGTGTTGGCCCCTGAGGAAGAGGATCCCCACCCTTGCAAATTTAGGGCAGTAGGTCTGACTGAGATGCAGGGCATTTCTTTTTTTAAACTCCAGAGATAATTTTGATGTGTAATACAGGACAAGAGTCACCAACATTGGCAGATAATCAATATCTAAGCCATTAAAGAATTAAAACCCAGGTTATAGGTTACCAAGGAGATGTTTTTCCTTAAATTTGAAGGAATGTTAATACTTTGGATGTATTGGTTTTCTGTAGCATAATTGGCCAGTTTCACATTGCATGGGCTAGTAACATGAAATTATTCTTTCTAAATATTGTATCCATATTGACATTTTTATAGTGTGACCAAGTTTCCCTATATTAATATTTCCAGTGTCTTTAATCTCCTCCCTTGGAATATCTTTGTTTCTCAAGTGCTGATTTGTCCATTTCCATGTCTTTAAGTCAGTATAGATAGAGAGTTGATTGATGGGCCCATAATTTTTTGGATGGCTGTGTGCTTCAAAATAGGTAGCAGTCTTTTAACACCTTTTAGATTACAAGGTATTTCTCTGCACACTAGTGGCAAGTAGTATTTTGTAACTCCAGAACTGTAGAAAGTACCAAGTGGCAGTGCTTAGGACATTCTGCTGCTGTTAGGGTACACAGGGGTCACTGGGCTACAGCCTCTGCCCAGGATGTAACTCCATGTCCTTGTCAAATTACGTGTTCCTATAAAAGAACTGCATTTTCAACCACAGGGTCAAATGTGCTCATAACTCTTGATCTTTTGTAAAGTGTTTCCCAAGTGGTATATTACTAACAAAGTGAAGTTTATGAATGATTTATTTACCTTGAATCTACTGTAGTTATTTTGTTTGTTCGTCTTTCAGTATAACATCACACCAATTTACTCATTCCATTCTGCCTCCCTAAGTAGGGGAAAGTTTACCTACAGTAATGTCCCTGGAGTTGTATGTCAGAGCCCTTGGGAATATGTTGGATATGGGACCATCATGAGTCACATCTACTGCTTTGGAAAAAAAGGTTTGATTTTCCATGAAACAGACTCTGGGATGGAGATTTGCACACAGGTGGTTTCCTGGGTTGGCCTTTCTGAGAGGTTCTGCATTAAAGCAAGGGGGCCAGGCCTTTATACCAGGTATTGACTGGTCATTGGATGCAGACTGCCCTCCAGGAAGGGGTGTAACCTCAGATGAGGCAGCGGTTTTTTTTTGGCCGAGGGCCGTGCCTAGGAAGGAACTCAGCTGTGAGCCAATGGCCAGCAGCATTCTGGGCACCAGGGGGAATGAGTGACCCACTGCAGCATCTGCTACAAGAGCCAGTGATAGCATGTCTTGCCAGAAAGATTCCAAGTGTGCCGTGTGAAGCTCCAGCATTTGGCTCTCTCATCTTGTGACTCTACAGACCTTCCTTTCGTATATTGATTTCTTGTTGTTTTTTTTCCTGCCATTCCCTAACCAGTGGTAGCAACAGGGAAGATCATTTTCATGAAAGTATTAGATTTGATCTGTTTGAGATTGACAAACATTTGGAGTTTAGATGTTGTTATTTAAGGGCTTTAAAAAAAAAAAAGCTTAGCTTTGTACTGTTTACATACTTGGTAAAATTTTCATAATCATAATTCAATACTTTGAAACAGTTGTTCTCCCCCATAACTTACAAATGATCAAGAACCATCACAACTGGTACAGCAGCAGTGAGACCAGTGTAGTAACTCCAGTCTCTTGTTGGTGCGGGAGCCGTCACACCGCCGACTGGTCGTGTGCGCCCTGGTGGCTTCATCCTTTCATCCTCTGTGCACTAGAGCAAATCCTTCTGTAGTCATTACTGCAATACAACCTTTTAAAATTGGTGACTCTTTTGTAAAAGTCCTCTAGAAAAATACCTGAGGTATGGATTCTTGCAGTGTTCAGACTCCTGATAGCTTAGCCTCTGCTGTACCTGCCCCTTTCCATTGTCCTCAATTATCACCTGCTTATAGCATGACAGGGGGAAACAACTTCTCCTTCAATAACAAGCTGGCATAGGAGTAACATGGCTTGTGGACATAATCAACAATTATTTGTTGAAGGACAAGAAAAGGGAAACTGGAGTGCCCCTTAAATAAAGAAAATAGGAGTATTAATCAATTATTGCATTCTTAGCCCTGGTACCGGCCCTAGGCTCTTTCCATCTATTATTTCATTCAATTTTTAATAATACACCTATTCATAGGGTAGTTATGGTTGTTTTACAGGTGAGGAAGCTGAGGCTCAGATGTACTTAGCCTGCTCACATGGCTGGTCAGGAGGCGGAACCAGGATTATCCGTGTGCATCTCTGCTGCTCTGCATCCCTGAGGTCATGGCAGTTGGGGTCAGGGAGGACGGTGACAGGGTTGCAGTGATGCTGAGGTAGAGGCACTGTTTTCCAGGATGAGAGGAGAGAACTGGCCAGCGGGAATGGGCCAAAGAGAAAGGGCTCCTGCCACCAGAAGTGTAACTTTTCTATACCAGAATAACTACAAACAAAGGTGTTTTCTCATGCTGTGTCACAGCAGTGTCAAGTCCAGAAACCAGTTCATAGCGAGTCCTGAAGGGACCGATTGAAGAAAGCAATACCTGGCATGTCTCTAAGAGCTAGATACGAGTTCAGTTTACATGAGTGTAGGTTTTTCTTTGCCTTTATTCTGCTTGCATGAGGATAAGAAACATTTTTTCTTGTAAGGAAACAAGGGAAGCCAAATAGGTAAAGTGGGCTTCTCCACCTTACTGTAGTCAGATTATCCAAAAGAGAAAGCAGAAGGAAGCCCAGGGCTGCAAATAGTAGTCTCATCTCTGTGTGACTTTTCTTGACTGGCAGTGACTCCCTTCAGGGTGTGTTGAGGAAACTCAAGTTGTATCTGGATTGAAAGAAAGTGAGGTCTCTTTTCTTGATGAGTGAATCCAATTAGTCACAGGAGGGGACCTAGCCTTACATTAGACCAATGACTTTCCATTGTTTTTGTAGGCACGAACCCCTCTGCCTTCCAATTACACTTGCAGATTTTTTTCCTGTTTTTTATTTTTTCTGTATGGCCAACATTTCTCTCCTGATTTAACATTCTGTTACTTCTTTGCCCGCAGAGAATTGCCAGCTCCTGTTCTTTTTTTCCCCACTGGAGACCCTTTTTGGCCCTCATATTGAGCCTGGCACTGGTTTTGCAGTTGCTATATCCTTCTTCTGCCCTGGATTATCCTTCAGCTCTGAGATTCCTAAATGAATGGAAACATGAGTCCAGAAAAATATTTATCCTGAATCTTGGTAGGGTCTTAATCTGTTCATGCTCTCTTCAGAATGTTCAGACTATTTTCAGTTTTGAGACTGTAGCCTTGCAATGTATGACTGTTGTATTTGAGTGGTGAATAATAATTCGCTTGCAACCAGTAAGTCACTAATGTCACTCAAAGCTTATTAAAACTGAATTTTATTAATAAGCAAGTTCTCTTGGGACAAAGAGTGCCGCTTACCCTAGCTTTGCAGAACCACATCCCAAAGTGAGCTTTAGCTTGTGGATTTGGGAACAGGCAGAGGGATGCATATGCACACTTGGCTTTCCTTCTGTTTCACACTCATATTTCTTTGTGCTACCAGGATCGTCATGACAGCCTTATCTCTCAAATAAAGCCTGTTACCTCATCCCTAATTGCTTATCCAAAGGCAGGCGAGCTCTAATTTCTCCACATTAATAAATGGCACCGAAGAAGAACTGCTTTGTTTGCACTGGCTCACTCAGGTTAACCAGTGTAAGCCCCTGAGTGCATTAGGAAATCCTGTGCTTCTCCAGTGGCCAAGGGCAGATGATGCTCACCTCTCTCAAGAACAGCATTTCATTTATGTACTTTTTGCTCATGGTCACAGCCCCATTCTCCTTTTCCTGATGAAAACACTAGTGACTCAGGTCAGCATTTCTCTGCCTGTGAGTACTCACTTCCCTCCATGCTGGGGGGTAGGAGCAGTTGTCATGGGGGGACCACTGGCCTCCCTCATTTAAAGGCTCACTTTTTTGGCTGCCTGCTGCTCCCCTTTCTTTAGAAGCCAAGAGGCTGGCCACAGACCTTTGGAGCAATTCCCGTGGCACACCCCATGTTGTAAGATGGCACTCCTGCTTCTCCTTTTTGAAGCATCATGGGAAATGGTTTTGTGGATTTTGTAAGTGAATGTGAGGAGGGTAGGCTTGCGGGGGGGTCAGAAAATTCAGAGAGTCTGTCAAGTTGTGTACTGATTTTAAGGCTGTGCCCCATGGAATAGCGAGCATCTCTCATCACCACCTTAGAATATCTCTAGTAATTTAAAGGGCCTATAAATATGAGCATTTTCATACATCAGAATTGTCAGCTTATTTCCTTTCTCTTTCTCTCCTCAGAATGAAATGGATGATGTGCCCTTCTTTGATATCCAACTACCTTATGAACTGGCAATCAATATATTTCAGTATCTGGACAGGAAAGATCTAGGAAGGTGTGCGCAGGTAAGCTGTCATTCACCAGTGTTCAAGATTTCTTAAGTGTACAATTGAAGTATAGGAAGCTTCTGGATAACAGAAATTTACAGAATTACAGACTTAAAAGAATAAATTGGATAGCAGCTATACTTGAAGAAAAGCAACCTTGAACTTACAGGTTTGTGTTCCACACCACCACTTGGTGTTTATCTTTTTGTGATGGTCTGCTCTCCGGAGCTCTGTTCTCTGTGCAGTCTGAGTTAAGGCTGACCTGTGGCCGTGTGCTCAAAGCTCTGTTCTCAGCCGTTATTGAGCTAGCCTGAGCTGTTAATATCCTCACCGTTTTTAATGCAAGATGCGAGCCCTTGGTTAAATCGAGCCATTAGGTTGGGAGCTGAGTGTCAGCCTGGGGACAAAACAGTGAAGTCATGTTTTACATGTATAGTCCAAATTACCCTTTAAACACCAGAATCCTACTCAGTGAGGTGTGAGGCATGTGAGAAATGACACCCCCGAGGGAACTGCAGATCACTGTCCCATCTCATGCTTACTCTGGGGCATACGCCCATGGAGTGGAATGGGGGAAGATAATCATCTAAGCCATATTTTATTGTGTACATGAGTCACAGGGGATCTTGATAAAATGTAAATTTGGATTCAGGAGGTCTGAGGCGGGACCCAGTAGTCTGCATTTCTAACCAGATGATGGCAAGGGTTTATGCCATTAAAATTGGTCTCCTTTGCTTCTTTTTGGTGAAGAGTGTATAATTTCTTGTAAGTTAAATGTACGTATGATTGCTGACCAATTGGCTTTTCATGGACAACTGTGTTCCCCAGAAGGCACTGGAGTATCATTGTCCCTAACTGCCAAAAAATTAATTTGTTTAGTGGTTACCATTTCCCATCCCTGAATTGTATGATGCATTTTACACAAGTGTTGACACCTTGAAGGGAAAGGGTTTGGTAAAATTGAGTGGTAGGAGAACTACGTATAAAAATCCAAAGCAGCACCAAAAATGTGAAGTTAAAACTAAAAAATTAAGGCAGTTTGAGAGTGGTGACAACTATAGCCAAACATAGACTTAAAGCTTGTTACCTCTATAGCAATTCAATGAAATCACACAACAAACAGGACAATTAAAGAGTTGCTGGTTTTACACTCTTTTTTTTTGAAGCATTTTGCTTAAATCGAAATTATTGTTCTCCTTAAATACGAATTTGAAAAAGTTTTCAATATTCTTGATTGCCACAATATTAATTAAATGGCAAATTTATTTTTGATGCTGAATCTGGAAATCTTTAGGAAATAATGAAAGAAATTGTTCAAAGGCTAAAATTCACTAAAAAATGTACTGAAATGTAAACCGTGCTCAGAGCATATCAGTTGCATTAAGTAAGAGTACCTATATTGTCTTCTTTCTCTTGGAAATTGGATTTGTTATATTCTAACTTTACACATTGGCCCTGTTCCCAAGAGTTGAAAACAACGGTGTATGTAGCTAAAAAGAGTCCAACTTCTGGATTTCAGCCTGATCCTGTTGGCTCAAGTCTTGGAACAGAGTCTAATAGCTAGCTGCTTTCCACAAAGTCAGCATTAGATGATAAAATCTTTATTCTTGTTAGGGAGCTGCTGTTTAAGGAATCATTTCTTTTAACATTGCTTTTTGCTCTCCAGCTTTGTAGAGGGCCATGTGGCTTTCACATCTGCTGCTGGTTTTCTCATCCAAAGAGTTTATCAGTGAAGATAGGATCTAGTGGAAGAAGAGATCTCTCTTTTGGTTCAGTGGGGCTGCATTTCAGGGTAGATTGGTTATGCTGGTGAGATTATTCTGCAGGTGTGAACGGTTTAATTTGCAACACAGTAGTCCAATTGTCCACCAAAATTCCTTCTTTGGCAGTTCGATTTGTTTTTGTTTGTTTGTTTAAACATAATTTTTTGTGCAGATGTATAAGGATAGAGAATATTTTTAAACAGAGCCCCTAAAATGGCTCTCATCTATGAAGCTAGGATTTTTTTTTAGAGAGAGCTTTGCATGAAGATGATAATGGATGGCAATAGCTGGGAGAATTGGCTTTGTTTTTTTCAAGCATTAAAACAAAACCACAAAGTAATAAAAATAAGTAGCATTTTCATTTGTTTCTTGTGGTGGTTTTATTTTTGAAACAGGGAAAAAGTTCTTCTGTTGAGTGGAATGTTCTGCTGCTTTATAATATTATTTTAGAGAGGACTCACTCTGTATTTCTCTTTTCTCTTTTAATCTAGCCGCCTTGGGATTTTAGGGAAATTGGGCCAGTTATGTGGAGCTGGCATCATGAACTATATGTGTGCCCTTGGAGAAAACCTGTTTGCTTAGATCTTTATGCCAAATTGGTAACTAACGTAAGGAGCCCTGATTGGGGTGGACTTTTGAGATTTAATTGTGCTGTTGAACTGATTTTGCTTACTTTGTCTTCTTTCTGCATCCCCTCTCTTTTTCTGCTTTGTGAGGCTTTATGCCTTCAAAACTCAAGTCTTACTACATTAATTTGTGATCCTTGTGTACTTTTGATGCTGACCTCTCTAGCTTCTTGCTATCTATAGTTGTCCTCTAGAGATTTAGTATCTCTGTGGGAGTATTTCTTGCTGAAATGTCTCAAAAACAGTGTGGCTTTTAGTAAGCAAAGTTATGTGTGGGCAGTTCATTGAATGGCTTTATCATTTTGCTATTTATAATTTTACGCTAATTTGTATGTGCATGCCCACAGGATTCCTGGCTCTTTAAAGGAAAATATTTTTAGATGGATAACAATGACAAAATTGTTGATTTCAAAGTTACAAAATCATTTTGCTTTTATGAGAAGAGTAAATCTGCTGTTACACTGCAGCATGAATAACTCTGAGGAGTAATGGTATTTAGTTATTTGCTAATATTTGTTTTTAAAACGTAAAATAACTATAAATTCACAAGAAGTTGCAAAAAAATAGTATGGAGAGGTCCTGTGTACCCTTTCCTCTGTTTCTTCCATTGCTAACATCTCACATACTATAAAACACTGTCAAAATAGGATACTAACACTGGTGCAGTCCACAGAGCTTAGTCAGATTGCATCAGTTTTACATGTACTAATTTGTGTGTATGTGTTTAGTTCCATGCACTTTATCACAGGTGGACGTTTGTGTGACCAGCCAGTAAAGATACAGAACATTCATCACAAGGATCTTCAGCAATACCCACTTATGGCCACACCCACCACTACCCCCTCTTTCCTTTCCTCACTCCTGGCAACCACTAATCTGTTCTTCATCTGTATAGTCTTATCTTTTTAATTTTCAGTTTTATCATATATTTTAGGAATTTTAGCTGCATAGGCAACAAGTCATGTTTTTCAAGTAAAAGCTAGAAAAAATGCATAAAGAAAACAGGAAAAAGAAGGAAGATGTAGAGGTTAAAAGATTTATGATAAAATTGGTGAATAAGATGTGGTTGTTACCAAAATAAACAATTCTGGAACTGAAGCCCAGTAAATTACACTGATATATCAAGTTCCAAGGAAAATACGATCTTATGATCTTCCCAGATGTCCAAATAGGAGCAACTAAAACCTAAGATTTTATAGCTAAAGATCTTAATGAAGTCTTTAAAAGTTGGGAACCCATAGCCAACTGTGGCTGGATTGATTTTCATAGCAGAAATGATTCTGAAAATCTGTAGTTGCTGGCAGGGTTCCCTAAGTTCTTAACTTTCACCTCTGCTGCCAGACTTCTCTCTTAGGGAGATAGGTGTGTGCCTGAGACCCAAGCACCCTCAGGAGCTTCCTTTTAATTTACCAGGTTGCAGTGTCTGCCTCCTTTACAGGGAGGGAGTTGGTGAAAAGCAAAGCAACTGTAGAAGAAAAGATGGGGAACTAAATGAAGCAAGAATGGCAGAGTACTGGTACTCATTTGAACTAAGCGTGGAGAACCTGGGACTTCTTTTACTGTTCACTTTTGTGTATTTGGAGTTTTCCATAATTCATACGTTTAAAAGAAAAACATGCAGAAAGCAAGAAAGAGTATTTAATAAGGAAGTCAGAGCCTCTTGAGGGCAGCACATGCCAGAAACTGACCTTTGAAAATAAAAGCAATCCAGTTTTTTTAAGCTGAAGACAAAAAATTGAGAACTGTCAGCACATTGGTGGTATTTAAAGCCAGGACACTGGACAAGATCACGAGGGCAGTATCACTACAGGAGGGGCATCCGCGGATTGAGCCCTGGCGCACCATGATGATTAGAGGCCAGGGGAATGAGGGGGAGACTGAGAAGGCCTGACCTGTTAGGAGAAAAGGAAACCCAGAGTGCTTAGTTCCCTGGAACCAAGGGATAGACATTTCTAAGGAGGAAAAAGTGATCAAAGGTGTTAAGCGCTGCTGTTAGCCAAGTAAGAGGAGGACTGAGAAATGACCATTGGGTTTAGCAACTTGGAGGTCACTGGTGACGTTGACCAGAGTCAGGGGCATGGTGGGGGCAAAAGTGAGTGGGTTCAAGAGCAAGTGGGAGGAAGGGAAATTGTGATAATGGGTATATAAAGAACTATCTATATGTGGTGTGTCCTCCCAAGTAGCCTTGATATATGAATGTGTGACTAGAACAATAACACATTTTTCTCTCCCTGGTGTACATCTCACCGGTAAACCTAATCTAGGCAGAGTTAATAAAACTAGTTTTTGAGCCAACGGCTTTTTTTTCTCTTTTAATGTTGCAATTCACAGTGGTGCTATAAAGCAAAATGTTGGAGACACTTTTATTAGCAAATTCGCACAGCTGAGGCTCACTCAGTGGGGCTTTACTGGGCAGGGCCATTCCAATCCTGGTGTATTAAATAAAGACTGTTAGGCCTTTAAAAAATTCAGGCTTGTAAACTTGCTAGATTTAATACAACTTAAGAAATCAAAACAATTAGATTCTCTTTTGGTGAGACTCTTTAAAATTTACTTGTGAAAGTTTATCTAGGTCTTTTTCTTGTTGAGCTTTTTCCTTCAGGATTAGAAGAAATTCATAAAGCCTGTT